AATGCAGTGGAAAATTGAGATATTTTTGCATAAATAGCTGAGTGATTTTATAGATAGATAGATAGATAGATAGATAGATAGATAGATAGATAGATAGATAGATAGATAGGCAGGCAGGCAGGCAGGCAGGCAGGCAGGCAGGCAGGCAGAGATAGATGATAGATGATAGATAGTGTATATAGTGTAAAGAGATTTACAGTTCAGTAAATCTCTCTCTCTCTCTCTCTCTCTCTCTCTCTATATATATATATATATATATATATATATATATATAATATCTATATATATATATATAGAGAGAGAGAGAGAGAGAGAGAGAGAGAGAGAGAGAGAGAGAGAGATTTACTGAACTGTAAATCTCTTTATAGATATTTGGGCATCAGCATTAAACCAATTTGAATGAAGCAATTCCACTGGTAACATAAATAGCTTCTGGATTTGCTGTATCTGTATGTAGGTGAATTAAAGACAGAAGAATACAAACTTGTGTTGAAAATGCATAGCGGTGTGCCAACTCCTGTTCTGAATAGCTTTAGATAACTTCTCCACCTTTGCATCACAGTTAAGTGCCAGTGTAGGTCTAACTGACCTCACAGCTACTAAACAAGCTAAACATTTAACACTTCATTTTACTTGTCTGGAAAACTGCCAATCTGCTGCCATCCTATTCTAAGCTCTGTAGAGCTGACTCCAAAAGTGATACCTATAAATTGCAGTGACTGAGGTTATTCTGTTGCCCCTTTCTTTCTTCTCATTGGTTCTCACTTTTCACCCTGAAAGGGCAACCATCTCAGCTATCAGCACATCAAAAGGCAGCCTTTCCAACTCATGCATGTTTATAATTAGAGTTGCCAGCTAACCAGAAAGAAATTGATCTGGCTGGAATTAGCAGGGAGATTTGGAAGAATCTGTAAATTTTATCTCTGATTTAATAGATCCCTATTAAGTGGACTTCACATGCAGTGGATCAGATTTCTGTCCAGTCATTTCCTCCACCCTCCATGATGGATATTTGTTGCATCTATCTATGTTAGACAGTTAAATTAATTAATTTGTGACAATTAATGTCTTTGTGTTTTGAAACATTTTTATAAAACAATGCAAATCACATTATGTGGAGTTATCATGCAAATAATGTATTTTGTGTTATGATGCAAATTGTGTATTTTATATTTAATAGACAATTGGGAATATCAGAACTCCTCCCTTCAATTAGTCTTTTAACTTGAAATTTTCCTGAACTAAGTAATGACTTATTTCACAGGCATAGCTCATAGTGCAGAGATGAAAAGGTTAGGAGCTACTAGATCCAGTGTGCATGTTTGCAATTTTCATATACTTTGTAACTGCAGTAAGGTAGAAACATGGGTTAAACACAAGCACTTCCTCCCCCTCCCCGCTACTCTTCCCCCTTCCTCTCCGACCACCATTTTCCTTTGGATTTTTGAGACAAACTTCTCAGAAATGAGGAAGTTCATTGTCACGGTTGCTGCTTCATAATGGACATAGGATTATTATTATTTTCATTCAAGGCTAATATGGTGTCTGTACTCAGCACTGTTTAATGGTTTTCTCTACTTTTTAAACTATATGTTTCCACCAATTTTTCATTACTTGTACATAATAATTTTACAGATGTCCTAGTAAATCATTTTGGTGACTGTTATGCCATTGTTTATAATCAGTTTCTGTAATCTTCTTGCAGGAGCTGAAAATATGAACTACCGTTTCTTCTGCTTCTTTGCAGAATCATCAAAAGTCATTTGATGATTTTTCAATTCTGACTTTGATTGCATGAGCTTAAATAGCTTGCTCTTGCAAAGCTAAAATCAACCCTTCAGTTTCTTTTTTTAAAATGTTAGTTACAAGCCATTGCCTGGCTTTATTGTTATCCATTTTCCCCTAAATCTTTTGTAGAAACAGACCTTGTAATACTTGTCCTTGCCAGTATTCTGTTTTGTTATTACATTATTTTGATATTCAGTTTTTGTTTCCTGAACATTTAGTAAGTTCGAATTTTAAACTTGTATTGATACTTGTTCTTGGCTGTCTTTTACATAATAGGCTAATTCATGCTTTTCTTCTTTAACAGTTAGTTTGACCTGAGGAATACCTCTGCCCCCATTTTGGAGGAGCAGGTCTAATCTATCAATATCACTATAGGGATATAATGCATAGCGAATAGTCATCAATTTTCTTGTTTTTCAGTCCAAACTGTCTAGTTTGGCTTGTGTCCAGTTAATAATTCCAGCATTGTATTGTATCTCAGGTCTGCCCAAATATTGACAGCTCTAATAGTGTTTCCTCCATTCAGTTTTGTCTAGCATTTTTTTTTTACTCTTTGCATGTATTTTTTTTTTTTACTAATCTCATTTTTAACTTGTCCACTCTTTATGTTATCCAGCTGTAGAATGCCCAGATACTTTTAGGCTTCATCCTGATGGTTCTAGACCAAATTCTATTGCTATATCTTTGCTAAAAATTCAATGTTTTCAATTACATTTGTCAACACTGCTAACATCGGATGTTCTTGCTTTGACAACAGATGGAAATGTAGCCATCTTTTCTCTTTTGCTTTTAGAATTAGATGATGCTGGAAGGGGGGAATGTAGATGAGAGTCCAGTTAGTCATAACAACAATAACTCAGCCATGGGAATCAAGGTTATTGCACCCAGCACTGATAAAGATTTGGCGGGCAGGAGAGCTGGGGAGAAAGCCCGCACTTCAAGCTAATTGGGGAATGTGATTTAAGACTGTTAATTGGAGGAGGGAATTGTGCTTTCTATTTTGTGTGTGTGTGGGGGGGGAATTCAGTTTTTGGCTTTAACTATGTAGTGCCAATACTTGTTTCTCAAATAAAAGATTCTTTAAGGTAAACAATGCCTCAAAGTTCTTTTAAAGAGTTTCATCTGTTGGAACCATGACAACATTATTATTATTATGGTCTGTCGAACAGTCGGCCAGATGTTCAGACTGGTTTTTGTCCGCCTATTGAGTCCTTCCCAAGGACCTGGGATATGTGGATATTTGACGATGTTAGATTGTAGGATGAAAGCTGTTCTGAGTAAAGCTGCCTTTTGCAATTTACTGATGGTGAATTTATCAATGTCAATGGAATTGATAGCTGCCGAGCAGGCAGTTAAAAGCCATCTTCCACTCCACACAGCTCTGTATATGGACTCTGTAGTAGGCCTTCCGCAGGTCCAACTTTGTGAACACACGCCCCGTACCCAGGTGGACGAGAGCAGAGCTACTTGTTGTGGAGCCATGCCGGAACTGGGCATTGGATGGGGCTGCAGAGGCTGTGTATTGGGGTGGGTCCCCAGGCCCCTATCCAGGACTCAGGGGAAAAGGGGGCAGGGTGCACGAACTGGTGGGGGGCAGGAAAGCGGTCAGCCGAGGTCCAGATGCCACTCCGGGGTGTCGCCCAACTCCTGAAGACCAGCTGGGAGTCGGCAAGCTGGCCGGACACCACCCGGCTCCTGAGGATCAGCTGGGAGCCGGTGAGGCCACTGTGCACTGCGGCTGCCTCCCTCCGTTGCCGTAGGGACCTCCCTACTGCCAGCTGGGTGTCAGAGGTAGGCCTGCCGGATGCCAGGGGATTCGCTACTCGCTGCAGCCACTCCTCACTTGCACCAGACACAGGGGAATCCCCGGAAAGCAACTGGGCTGTGGAGCTGGCCGGCTGGATGTCGGGGGGCCGTCTCTTGTCGTTGCCATTCTTCCTGTAGGGCCGGTGGCCCGGGGAAGGCGCTGGTTGCTGGGGGAAGCCATGGCCTCATGGACGAGAGCAAAGCTACCTGTTGTGGAGCCACGCCGGAACTGGGCATTGGATGGATGCCAGACAGGACAGCTGGGGCTGTGGAGGCTGTGCTGATGCGTCTGAAGGGGGGAAAGGCGGAACTTGAGCTATGGAATTTATCCATACAGACCGGATGCTGGCTTGCTGATTGGGGTGGGGTTGGAGGGCAGGGCACGTTTATTTAAGGCACTGGGAGCAATTCACTCCCAGTGCTGACTTTTTCTTTGCATTAAAGTTTGCTGGTCACCTGTTCCTTCTGTGTCTGGAGTTTGTTGGCAGCTAGCAGAGGACAGCTGACAGTCGTGTTCCAGTTGTTTTGGGATTGCACCCAAGGGGCCTATTGCTATTAGTACTATACTACTACTTTGCTTTCTTTACCACAGTCATTCGATTTCTATTTGCAGGTTTTTTTTATTTTATTATCTTCTTTCTCTTCTATATTGCTGTCTTCAGGTACTGCCACATCCACTATACAGACTTTTTTTTGTCTTTCTTATCTACAGTTGTTAAGTCTGGGGTGTGACAGGTGCCTGTCTGTTTGAAATCTAAAGTCCCAAAGCACTGTAGCCTTTTCATTTTCTATTACTTTATTTTATGGTCCCACCAGTTCTTCCCTGGAGGCTAATGATATTTCTATCAGATATTCTGATAGATCATTTTTGTTACTTTGTTATGGTGTTGTTTGTGGTCAGTCTGTGCAATCTTCTTGCAGTAGCTAATCAGGTGGATCTATTGTTTCTTCAGCTTCTTTGTAGAGGCAGCACTTGCTCTCTGTTGCTGTCTTCTCAATTCTGGCTTTGTATGCATTTGTTCTTGTGGCTTGGTCTTGTGCACCCAGAAATAGCTGTCTCTTTCTTCAGCTTTTCTGATATTATTATTATTATTATTATTATTATTATTATTATTATTATTATTATTATTATTAGTAGTAGTAGTAGTAGTAGTAGTAGTAGTAGTAAGGTTCTAGCTTAGTTAAAGAGTAGTTGCTCTGTATGTAAAGATGTCTAAGTTTGGTTCCCAGAATCTTCAGGCTGAGTTGAAAACATTTATATTTCCCACCTTAAATCTTGGAAAGCTGTCCCTCGTTGTGAACAATATAGACCCAAGAGGAATAATGTTTAATCCAGATTTAATCATAGGAAAGGAAGGGGGATTCCTAATAACTAATTAACACTGATTTTTGCTACTCTTGCGTAGGCATGTATCCACTGTCATCTTCTACAGAAGAACCTGAGAGTAACAAAAAACTGAGCCATCTGCTAAACTCAGTGACAGATGCCTTGGTGTGGGTCATTGGAAAGAGTGGGGTCCCTTTACCCCAACAAACAACTCGCTTGGCAAATTTATTGATGCTACTTTCTCATGTTCGGCATGCCAGGTAAGACCATTCTAGATGTTGGAGATGTCTTCTTGCAACTTATTAACTTTTTTTCCTATGAGTGTGAAGGAGGAAAGATCATTTCCTTGCGTTACTTTTTATTTCTGCTTTCGTTTCTCTTTATGAATTATTTCATATCTTTTTTACATATGTTGGCTATTGATGTAACTGTAAATATAGAATTTATGGATAACATAAATAGCAATTTCACTGCATAATACATCATCTGTAACACTTATATATCCATTGTATATTGGATACTATACTATTATATTCCGAATTGTCTTATAAACAAAGTGTTCTGCTTAGAAAAAGCAGCATTTTTTCCATCAGTCCTCTTTGTGTTGTTCCAAATCAGCTGGCAGCTTGCTTATCCTTGTGACATTCTTCATTTCAAGGACTGAAATGGTCACGTTCTGGATCTATTCTGTCTTTTCTGAAACCAGAACTACACAATGTGATGGCTTGGGGAGGGGTGGCCTGTTTTTCTTTTGGCTTTGATCTTGCTTCCCCCCTGCCTCTTGGCTCTGGGATACAAGCTGATTCTTTCTCAATATCTGTTGCAATCTAACTACATTAAAAAAGGAATAGAGGCAAACTGATTAATTGAACTTCAGGCATGTGGTCAGGAGGTTAGGTAAGCCTGTCACTGTGAGTTTGTCCCTTTTATGATAAGAGTTGGGTTTGTTCTCAGCTGCCCTTACTTTTCTTATTTTCATGTGTGTTTGCTTGGGTTTTATACTAAGCGTGCTGTCCAGAGCCACAATTGTGAGAACACCAGAAACTCCTGGTGGCAGATTTTCTTGAGTCCTGTTTTTGAATTTTTCTACTAATCACTCAGAGAAAGGACTATTGCATCCTAGTCTTTCCTATTCAATGTTAGTCTTTCAAGTCTGCTAGAAGTTAGCTTCACAATAGTTCATGAGATAAAGTGGTTTATGAGGGAAATGAAATGTTTATATATATGAAAATATCTATTGATAATGCTGTCTCATCTCCAGAATGAGTTTCCAATGCTATAGAAGTTGAGCCTGTAATGAAATTTCTGTGGGTGCCATGACAAAGAAAAATAACATTTTAGAAGACCAAATGATAGTCCAATCTTTCCTAGTGGTCCAGAATGCATTCATGAAGTATTTAACAATTTCAATTTTATTTTATAAATTTTATTTCAAGTGTTTTTCTGTTTTTCTGTTTTATTTTTTTAAAGTTTTTAATGTTAACTTTTTATTAATTTTAATATTCTAAATCCATTTTTGTTTTGCATTTCTGGCAAAATCTCAGGAGTTAGTGGTTTCTCCTTTATTGGAATTATTCAAGCAAAGTGGTCCTCTATCAAGGATGTTGTTGTAGAATTCCTGCATTGAGAAGGGAATTGGTCTAGATCAGGGGTAGGCAACCTTGGCTCTTTTATGACTCATGGACTTCAACTCCCAGAATTCCTGAGCCAGCCATGCTGGCTCAGGAATTCTGGGAATTGAAGTCCATGAGTCATAAAAGAGCCAAGGTTGCCTACCCCTGGTCTAGATAACCTAAAAAATACCTTCCAATCCTTATATTCTGTTATGCAACATTGTGCAGCTGTGTGGATCATTTAAAAGTCTTGCTGTTTCTGTCCTAGAGCACCTCTGTATTTTAAATCTCAGGACTTCTTTCTGATCGCAATATTTTCTTTACAGCAACAAAGGGATGGAGCATCTTCTTAGTATGAAGTGCAAGAATGTAGTGCCAGTCTACGATTTGTTGCTGGAGATGCTCAATGCTCACACTGTCCGCAGTAACAAGAAAACACCCGTCTCCAATCTTGAGAATAGCCCATTGGAACCAACAGAGACAGCAGATGGAATTCAGCAGTGATTTCATAGAAGTCAAAATCCAGGAAATACCCAAAGAAAAAAAGAATTAAGAAATATTGAGATCAAAACTTTGGATATTCGCTGTTAAGCAAACTACAGCATCTTTACAATTTTTACTGGACCATTTGTTAATCTTTTTCAGACTGAATGTTGTCTGTCAACTTAGATGGTTTTAGAAAAGCCCCATGTGGTTGGAACTGAACAAACAGCTGATGATTTATGGTTTTATCAAATGTTGCATTTCTGGAGTGCCTTCTAGAGGAGACTGTTTAACTGCCAAAACAGCCTTAAGCTTCACGGTATCCTAGGTAGATGCCAATATAAGCTTTTTTTTTCTTTTTTCTTTTTTTAAAGGAGAACTGGACAACTCAAAAACCTAAGATCTCACAAATGAATATCTGTCAGGGCAGAAAGAGAGGCAACTTCTGATAAGAAACTGAGTAGTTTGACATGACGCTATTCATCAATGCATCAAGCTGCACATTTGAGCAAACAGGAGAAACTGCTTGCATTAAAAATGCATGTCGTTCAGCTTATTAATTGCAATGGACATTAATATGTTTTTCCATTGTGCAAATGTACTTTAGATAAGTTGGTAAAGGAGAATAATGAGCAGGTCTTCATATTTAATTGCAAAGCCTTGGTTTGGAGCGCTTGTTTCTAGATTCATTCTGAAAAAATGAACTAGAAACATTTTAAAGCCCCAGTTTGTCTTGACTGTATTTGAGTTCCATGTTCAAGTACCTGTGGCTTTATATCCTCTTAGACGCTTGTACAATATACTGCTATTGTTGTGAAGGAATTATTGCAATGAATATTCAGCATTTGTGAATAGTGATGTAATATTTGAAGTACTAAAAATCAAAATAATTATGGTTATTTTATATGAATAAGAAGAGATTCAGGTGTTTACAGACAAACCTGGAAGTACAAAATTGGAAATGGAGGACCAAACAGAATGTGTCTGATCAACCACCCTATGCATGTCCATGTGCCAATCCATCAGCCTTGTCATTCGTATTCATATATCCCTACCAGCTTCTCATTGTAGGAGGCAGCTCTACACAAATATGTAAAAGGTAGTCAAAGCTGATGGCATAATTAAGGACAGTTAAGGAATTGTGCATGCATTATTGTCCCATATGAATACCTAAATGCATACATTATTCTAAAGCTTGCAGAATGATCTGTGACATATGTGAGTTTTGCATGCAAGGGCTTGGGATAAAGAAGTTAGCCTAGGAAATGCTCTTAGGAATGCAAGGTTTAGTATCCCTGAACCAGACCTGGAAACAGTGGACTGTGCCTGACTGTACTGCTCTTCATGCTGGGTTATCTTTAAGAAGTGTCCAGAAACTTCAAATGATACAAAATGGGGCAACTAAACTCAGTAACAGCCACAGTAAGCCACAATAATATAAAATAGTGAAACACATGTTCTACCTTTAGGTAGTGATATTCATTTAAGACAAGTGTGTAACTCACAGTATTTATATCATGACACCATTACATGCATTTGGCCTCTCATTGATAGACCTTCATAACTAGGCTACTAAGTTAGGCACAATACTGAGAAGATCTTATATCCCTGCTTCCACCCCTTCTTGTTGTCGGTTCTATTTGGGGTACAATTAATAGTTTTTTATTTTTAAAGTCCTAAACATCATTGGATTTAATTTCATCCCCTCCAGTCATGAAAATCCATCCATTCATTCTTTCTACATATAAACTATTGTAAGACAGTAAAATATAAGCAACATCTAAAATATCCACATTTTATACTTAAACAATCATAATTACTGAGAATAATTAAAAAAACAATCACGATGAATCATTTAAATTAATTATACTCGGTTATATTAATTGTACAAAGTTCAGCAGAGAACGCCCCCTTAAAGATGCCCCTCCTTTCCAAGGTTTGTATGTTGGACATGTGAGAAAAGGCTTCCTTGCTGTTTCTCAACCTTTGGAATACCGTCTCATGTTTGATCTCTTCCTCCTTCAGCTTTTAGGAAAGGAGTCCAGACTTTTCTCTGTAATCAGCCCTGTTCTGTCTCAAACAGTTAATAATTAGTTCAAATCAGTGTTGGGATTCAGCCAGTTTGCACCACTTCGGCAGAACTGGTAGCTAATTTTTTGTTGGCCAGGCCCAGAATGGACTTCCAGAAGTGGCATCCACATATTTGTTCACATATTTGAATCCCACCACTGGTTCAGATGGTTTAAATCACATTTTAACTGTTTGTTACTTTTTGATTGTTAACTTGAGAACCCCCAGGCTACAAAGAGGGAAAAGTTAACAACTACCCTGATAATAGGAAAGTCATGTAACAGCTGCCTGATTTCAATTGGACAACACAGACTAGAAATTTTCTTTTTTGGGGGGTGGGGGAAGAGGATAGCCATTGATAGGGACATTTCCCCAATTAACATTTCATTCCCAATGGGAATCTGTGTGGTCACAGCTGCCAGGAACCACTGGAATTCAGTAAAGTTTCTGCAAATAGTCCATGTGAAAAGCACCATAGATAAGTAATGACAAAAATTATGTGAGACTGCCAAATCTTGGAGTTTTAAGCAATTAACTACTTTAAAATTGAATAATGAGAATTAATTGGGAGGAGAGATCTTAACAGATACTTGAGAAGATTGTGAATGCGGTTTGAGGCTCCCATGTTGCTGACCTTGGGTTTATTCAATGGTCTTTTATCAGCTTTTTATTTCAATGTAGCATTTTTTTTATTATGGAGAGTTGTTTGTGAGTTAATGTTGTTTTCTGGTGACTGTCTGGACAAGTCCCTGCCATTTTCTTGGCAAAGTTTTTCAGAAGTGGTTTACTGCTTCTTCCTAGGGCTGAGAGTGACTGGCCCAAGATGACCTAACTAGCTTTATGCCTAAGGCAAAACTACAGCTCACAGTCTCCTAGTTTCTAGCCTGATGACTTAACCACCGCACCTGGTTCTTGCTGATCAAGTGTACTGATTAGCATAAAAATAAAAGCTGAGAACAATCAATCTATGGAAACATCAAATCCAGTTCTATACATATAAAATAATTTAGATGTGCTCAGCTGCCTGGTGTAATTTGACACATTAATGGGCTTTTGCACTTTTATTTTGAACACGTATTTTCAGTCTGCTATTTTCTGTATGGAACAAAGTATAGAATTGGAATCTACAACAGGACAATGGAAGTCCTCAGGACTCCAGTAGTCAACCACTTCAGATTTGGTTCAGAGCATTTCTCCCACCTCTTCAGCTGGCACAGAAGGGAGGTTGGGACTAAAATACAGGTAGTCCTCGAGTTACGAGTGCAATGGAGCCTGCCCATTCCACTCGTAACTCGAAAACTCATAAAGTGAATCTTGTACCTTGAACAAGATCACTCCCTTGCTTGTTAAAATGCATGTGGCTCATTAAGCAAAGATGAGATATCTCAGGGTGGGGAAGGCCATGGAAGGTCTAGTGATGGAACAGATCCCCAAGGCCTCCCTGACCCACTAAGATACTGCATGCTTCCCCCTCCCTTCTTGCCGTACTGGACTCACCTGGAAAAGATCCGTCTCTTCTCTGCCAAGTTCCTGCTGCACCTGGATCTGAGGCTGGGGGATGCTTCTGCAGCCCCTGCAGCCCGATCCAGGCTCTGGAGGCCTTTTCCAGGCCGCTGGAACCCAGATTTGAGGTCAGGGAACACTTCCACACACCCCCATGGCCCGATCAGGCCTGGAAATTGCCTCCAGAGCCCAGATCGGGCTATGGTGGGCACGGAAGTGGGCCATGGGCGACACAGAAGCGGACCACGGGGGGGCACAGAAGCATCCCCTGGCCTTAGATCCGGGCCACAGTGGCATGGAAAACGCCTCTGGAGCCACAGTCCAGCCTCCAGAGGCATGTGGGAGCATCCTCCAGCTTCGGTTCCATTCTCTGTTGCAGAGGCCTAAAGTACCATGAGATCATGTGAGATCAGTGGTATGAGATCTCGCCCCACTGATCTCACATGATCTTGCGTTACTTTAGGCCTCCATTCTCTGCAAATGCACCAAAGGCCTGGAGCAGCCAAGAAAGCAAAGGATCTCAATCTTCACAGAGTGAGTATTAAAGGCCTGGTGCCTCGGGAGACCCGGGAGGGGGTGGGGAGGGAGGGAATAACCAGGATGAATGTTGCAAAGCCACTGCGGTCACTCGTAAGGGCGAATGACTGCTGTGGTGGTGCAATATTCGTAACTTCGGGACTTGCTTATAAGCACTAGGGGGTGCTGATCACGTAACTTTGAACAAGCATTAAGTGAACGTTCGTAACTCGGGGATTACCTGTAGAAACTAATTTTTTATTTTTGCTTTAGAGAAGTTTTTCTCAACCTTGACAACTTTATGATGTCTGGATCTCAACTCCCAGAATACTCCCCATGCTGTCTAGAAAATTCTGGGAATTGAAGTCCACACATGTTAGAGTTGCTAAATTTTAGAAACACTGCTCTAGGAAACCCGGAGTAGGGAATAGAAGTTTTGGCTGAAACTTTTCTGTGCGCTTATGGAAAAAATGGTGCAAATAACAAAATTTAGTTCAGTGTTTGGGGTTTATAATTTGCAGCAGAAAGTTTAACATTGTAATTTTCCCAATGTCTGATAAATGCATTTTTTTCTGAATTAGACCATGCATTTTTCACTATAGCACCCAACTGCGCATCTGATAACATCAGGAATGGCAGAATTTAAGAACAGAGTTTGGGGGTGAGCTTATCAATTCAGCTTGATTCCCCAGTGGTCTCTGGTTCCTACTTTCATTTTTATCTTGAGGAAAGAAAACATAAAAATCAAATAGGGTAAATAAAGTATAAGAGAGTCCACAACCATTCTTGCAAAATAGAGTTCTTTGTCCATTGAGGTTGATGCCGCAACAAATCTGTCCATCTGCAAAGGGGCATCAGACTCCTTCGAAGTTTCTGCAACAGTGAAATATGACTACATTTCAGGATTAATCCAGCTAAACCTCTTTTGTTTCTGCCAAAGTACTTTATTGGATTTTTTTTTTTTGCTATATGTTTTCATTGCCTTAAAGAAACATTTCTTTGTTCCCTTATTAAAGGAACACCTTTAATTTTCACCTGAAAAGCTTTAGCTTTGCTCTTTTCATGAGCAGCAACTGTTGTATGTCTTCAACTGTGTCATTTGTACAGATCTCCATTTAGATCAAATAAATGGGCTAATTTAGAAATACTGTATGTGAGCAATTCAAAATTTTTGAAGATGTTGAAGTCAGAATTATTTTTAGAATGTTATTACATAGTTCACAGTTCAAAACAACTTCACAACAAAAATATGTACTTTTAGAAAAATATAGCCAAAAATTGAAAGAAAAACTCTCCTCAAAATGCATTTTTCTAGGGGGAACTTATTTTCAAAAAACATGGATGCTAGGCAAATGTGTATAAATATGTGTTCCTTAAAGAAAGAATACCCCCATTTGTACATATCCACAAAGATATAATGTGTGACTCTTCTTAATTAAGAATGAAATAAAAGAAAACTTGCAACCAGAAAGATGAGAAATTTGATAGAATTGTTATGTGAGAAAGACGGACAGTTTCAAAATTCGATCATTTTTTTTAGCTTTACCATGTGATACACAGTTGTATAAAATGGAGAGGAACTATTAAGGAAATGGCATTCCCCATGTTCCCCTCATCTCTGTAGTTTTTTTCCTCATTCTCTCTGTAAGGACCCACCCCACTTTGCATCTTAAGAAGACAGAACTCTTGGAATAATTCTTCCAACAGGAATCCTTTATTAAGAGAAGTGGTTGCAGGCATGCTAGACAGGACTTGGGGTTCAAGCTCTTCCATTCAAGGTTTTAAGGGGTTCCCCAGTAGTCCCACCCAATCAACCCCCCTTCCAGTGATAGTTTCAAGTATCACAATTCCACCCCTTTTCTTCTTTCTTCCGTCTGGATGGAGACTTCAGATAACTACATGAAAGGCAAATACTCTCCTTTGGTATGCTAACACTTCGAGGTTACAATAAACACACATTCAACATTCAGCCCTTTGAAGTGTACTGAAGGAAGTGAGGGCCATAAAGCCCCTTTGTTCTCCCCCTTCTCTCCCTCTTATGGCAGAATCCAGAGATGGCAGAATTGGGAGTTTCTATATTTGATAATTAAAGATGAAATATAATTGGATTCTGACACTCTCCATCAATTCATCTATTCATTACACTTCCCCATATAATGACTTCATTTTGCTTTGTTTATCTTATAGGAACAATTATATAGACACCAAATGTTTTATTTGACACTATTAAGCAATTATGAGATTTGTTCTTAGACAGTACTGCATTTGGTTATTACTGATGTATCTAGTGTTTGATCTGTGGTAGCACATTTACACATTGCCGTTTGTTTTTACAGTCACCCATTGACCAATTTATTGTGTGTAGATGTATCTGTGAAGGTATTGTAAGGAAATACTTCTGAAATTTATCTCAGGAACGTCTGGAGGACATGTAAGTTTATTGCATCAATATGTTAAAATTGTTTTTTTAATGTAATAGGAAAATAAGATAATATTTTAAAAAATCATCTGCTAAACATAAAGATTGAAGGAATTTAATAGAGAAATGCAAAAAAGGCAGTCAGGCAGTTTTTGTCCATGAGTTTGTAAAATATGGAATGAAGAGGACAAGGTATCTATGGAGCTTCTCAATCATCCAGGTCACGGATATCCCAAAGGTGCTTTTTTCCAAAAGGTAACTGGATTTCCTTGGTTTTCTTCTTCGAAAATGTTTCACTTCCTATCCAAGAAGCTTTTTCAGTTTGGGGGGGGAAATAGGAGAAGATAGAATAGATGTGAAGGCTGTGCATAAAATGTAATTCTTCAACAATGCAAAAATAGTAAGAGTGTTCAAATTCTTGAGAAGCTTAACTTTTATTCCTATATCAAGGAATGCTCCGCTTGAAAATTTGTGGGCAATCTTTATTAAAATCTCAGAAATTTTAAGAGATAGTTAAATAAGATTTCCAGCATTTGTGACGAAGCAGTAAATTATACAGACTGAGAGCTTTCTTGAGTATTGTCCATAGTCACAATGTCAGATTTCTTTTAAACTACATATGTTAACTCTGGAGAATGCATGTTCCAAGTTTTAATCCATTTAGTACAATAATTTCTGGACTATTCTTGGGGGTCTCAGAAGACAGAAGAACTATCTGGAGATGCATGGACCAAATGAAATATTTCTGCATGGCAGGTACATATCTTATTAAAGAGTTAATGTTGCCTTTAAAACCATGTGCAGATATAGAATATTCCCAATACATTAGTGTCACAACTCTCAAACTCACATTTGGCTACCAACATCTTCCCCATTTTTCTGTTTTCTAATATATTTTAATTGGTTATCTGTCATCCAGTCTTTTTTGACTACAGTGATCCCATCAATATTCTCCAAAATTTACATTGCAATATTTTATTGGCTTGTATGGGATGTAGAGAGTATTAGTTCATTGTTTGCAGGCATAGATTTTGGCATGCAATTCCTGCGAGCACATATGGAAGTATTTGATGTATCTTATGTGCATTTATTTTATTAACATTTGCATTAGAAATCCACAACAGGCAACTTGAGTGTGATTATTATCACTGAAAGAAACCAAGTAAATTCTAATATAGAAGCACAATGACAATAAACTGTCCCCACATTTATTACATTATTATAACTCTATAAATAAAAAAGAACAGCTTTTCTGAAATTATTGGCCTTCCAAACAAATTCAGAGACAATTAATTCCTCTTAAATCTTAATCCCTTGTGTAGTCCCCTTTAAAATCAACAGGACAAACTTGAGATAAACGTAAGTGAAGAAAGGTAAATGGAAAGAGTAAGGGGATTCTTCAAAAAAGTGACAGAAATGCATTCTCAAGATACTTCTTTGGGGAGATGCAAAAATTGTTTAACCTTGCACAGCTTTGAAATGATTAAAAAGAAGCTTCATGGTTGTACCTGTGGGGAAAAAATTCTGTCACCTTATCAAATTATGTTCTCTGACCTGTTGGGCTGACTTGAAAGGACTTTGAAAAGATTTGGGGGCTGGAAAGATCAATTTGATGACTTAACCCTAATCCTAACCCAGTCGATGCATTGGCACTCTTAACTAACAAATTATCTTCAGATAATGTGTTTTTATATAAGACTTAACAGATAACAAAATCCCAAATTGCATACATTTTGAATCATGGTTGAAAAATGGCCTTGGGAACCAGAAGTAAGGTCCAATCTGGATCCCCTGCTTGATCTAGTGGTTGATCAAAATACAAGAGCAGTTGGCTATTTCTAAACTTTGGTGTTTTGGCAGGTATTTCATTGTGGATCTGCATCGTTTCACTGCTCTTTTCCCACTTCAATGCTTATCACAATTATTTAGAAAATAAAGTCCTTTAAATGAATGAGCCTTGTTTGCACAAAATGGAGTTAAAGATATCTGGATTCTGTAGTCCCTGCCACGTGCCTGCAGAGCATTCCTTGCCTACGGTGTTTTGTAAACCATAAGATAACTATGAACATGTACTTTCATTGTTAGCGGCTTGAAAACTGAAATGTTTTTGGAATTATTTTTGGTGCCTTTCCAAGTATTTTGTGAACATAAGCCAAATTTGGGATAAGGTGTGAAATCTGACACTTTTTCAGCTGCTTTTACAAATGTAGAGCTTGTCTCTCTTCTCTCCCCCCCCCCCAAGTAATGTGTTTGTAGGATGTAAGTGATAAATAAAAAACAATATTCTATAAGGTCCTTGTCTTTTTGATACTTCTTAGTTTATTGTTTAGACTCTATTTCCCCGTGTTATGATGGTTGACCTTTAAATTTTGCCATTCTGGTGAGAAAAATATTTAAGAGGTGGAAATCTCAAATAAAAAAAAGGCCTCTGCACAGCCAGGAATTCAATAGACAGCTTTACATCTGGGTGAATCACCCTTTTTCTGTTACTCTTGGTGATCACAGGTCTGTTACTGAAGTTGCATTGCATGAATTTTTACTGTATTTTTTAAAGAAACAAGTGAACTTATTGTGTTTAAAATGCAAGTCAAAGTTCCTCAATCCCCCCAGTTACAAAAGAGTTAGGCCA